GCAATATGCTATGAGTGACAACAACAAGTATAGCTGGAAACAACTAATCAATGCAGAGGCTTTTCATCCTGTGCCCAATGACTGATGCCTTTCTAAAAAACTTCATGCCGGCAAAAAAAATCCAATGCACAGACACCTTAAAACCACTTAAATTACAACATTATTTTTTATTAATAACAATGGCTTATTGTAATAGTAACAGTAATATGCTTTACTGCAATAATAATAATAATAATAATAATTATTATTATTATTATTATTATTATTATTTCAACTGTAAAAACATAATATGCGTGGACAAGGACTAAGGAACAATATCAAATGAACAGTTAAAGACTGGCTGCAACTTGTACAGCAACCATAAGTACTAATAGCTCGACTAATAGTAATGGATTATAGAGTAACTCGGGGCTATTCCGACCCGTTCCTGCACTATGATCTAATTAAATATTCACGAAGTCATAACTCACTCTTTTTTGCTTTATTTCATTTATTTTATTTATCAATGAGTTCTACTTTGTCTTTTCTATTTGTACTTTTTTGAAATCAGCAAAATTCAGCTTCAACTTTGGATGAAAACAGTACTTTCACTGACCTAGTTGTTGGGGCTATTCCGACCCTACCGGGGCTATTCCGACCCTCCGGATACTAACTAGTATACGGAAAAATTATGCAGTGACCGGAGATATACAAGCACTATCACTAGGTGATAATTCGTGAAAAAGCTAATGAACACAAAATTTTAGCCAGAGTTGCTTAGCTGCACTTTATAAAGACCAAGCTGTTCTTTGGTGTTGGTAATTAGAAAATTCTATGCTGAATAGATACATCCTTGTTTCAGTCCTGTATCTGCTATAGTTAAGAAGTTACAACTGGAGAAAGAGGACCCTCTAACTGGGGCTATTCCGACCGCTGCACACGGATTTCCCATTGGTTTATACAGGGGACGGAATAGCCCCGGGGACGGAATAGCCCCGACTTACTCTATATATTCAGTAATTGACTACTGGATAATGTTTATATACATGTAAGCCTACTAGATACTAACCAGTACTCCATCCACTTCGTGATTTAAAAAAACCATGATCCACTGAGCTGCCTTTCTTGATGTTTCAGGCTTTCAGCCTTCTGAGCGAGCTCCCGCTGAGTGAGCCTCCATAGCTCCTTGACATCCCTCCCCCTTATTCATTAATCATTAATTAAGCTAAACTACTTATTATTCATAGTGTCTATCCCTATGGATAGTTTCCAGGAACAGTTACACCTAACTCCGGACAACTATCCAGGAATAATGCGCTAACCGGGTGGAAGTCAACAGTTTAAGGCGTGGCTTGTTGAAGGGTGTGGCTGATCTCCTGCATTTTTGAAATTCAAGCATATCATGGGTATCTGGGGCCTTACAACCTACATTAAAAAGAATTACAAATGGAAAGAGATAGGAAAAGATCCTCCACTAACAGGCCCTTTGCTGATAGACGCCAATGAGCTGCTGTACTCTCTCTATGATGGA